AGGTACATCGTGGACATAAGTATGTGATCAAATAATGAGGTCATGATTCTCTGTGCCACAGATGTCTTCTCACTGCCACTTGATCCTGTATCAAGTCTGCTCCTCACAGCAAAAAGAAAAAGAGGAGAGGGTACACTGCAAGAATCCTGAGATTAAACATGGAAAGCAAATCATTCTATCTGAGCAATAAAGTAGAGGTGCTATTTTTTTTAGTGGAAATATGGAGAGAGAAAGGGTGAAAACCCTGCAAGATTGAATGCAAAGGAAACTGATGGATGTAGAAGTAGAAATGTGAATGAGATGATGGGGGAAATGAAAATTTCTAAAATAAAGTACTTCCAAGGACCAAAGAGCCCGAATGTTGCAGAGATTAATGTGCTAACTGAAAAGCTGGTACAAACTCATCAGCTATCAGCTCTTGGGGACAAAAGATGCATAAAGATGTACAGTATAGGAAGCCCTACGGGACAGTTCCAAGCTGTCGTACAGGGTAGATACGAGTCAGAACTGACTTAATGGCAATGGGTGAAGATCTGTTGTTCACAGGGTTGCTATGGGTCATACTTCACTCGATGGCACCTAATAACAACAACAAATATCCAAACTGAGCCATTTCCATCATCTCAAGAAAACAGTCTTTCAGAAATAGAAAAGTTTGCAAGTGCAGAAAAAGAAGATTCCTATCAAAGTTTAAGATAAAGGACAGAGTGCATATAAATCCCTGCTTTCCACCTTTCTTCTGTGCTACTCCACAGTAACTAGTTTTTAGTCCCAGATCAGTGGTTTTCAACTCAGGTGATACATCAGAACCACCTGGGAAATTAGAAAAAAAAAATATTCAGGCACAGCCCTCACCCTGAGATATTCTAATTGATCTAGTTGAAGCACAGAGAATAATAGTATTTTTTTTCAATGCCCCAGATGATTTGAATGAGTTGCCTAGAGCCTAGGAGCCACACACACAGTCTAGGTAGGGGCAGATAGTATTTCGTATAGGCCATGTGGGTTATAGTTTTGCAGCTATTTACCTCTGCTGTTGTAGTACAAAAGCAGCCAGAGACAAGAAGTCAATGAAGAGGGCATGGTTGTGTTCAAAAAAAACCTTTATTGACAACCGCAAGTAATGCCAGATTTGGCATAGTTTGTCCATCTCTTCTCATTAGATTGTCTCCTCTCCCTTTTCTTGAAACAACTGTTTTAAACCTTCACTGTCATGCCTTTGACTCTCAGCAGATGATTTTAATATAAACTTGAAGGGGAAGGAGATCATCTGAGAGGAAGTCCCCCAACTTGCTGTAGAGTTAAACTATCTACATCTTAATCTGTCCTCGTCTCCTTTCCTCTTATTTCACTGGTGTCCTTCCCCAACCCCCCCCCAGGAAAAAATCTAAAATTTTCACCTACATTCTTATTTTCATCACCTTCTTATCTCTTCTGGGCCCCCATTCCACAAAGCTTCCCATTTCCTATGCCTAATTCCTCTCTCTAGACTGGCTCTTTCCTTCCCAAACCAAAGATACTCATTTGTCTTATCCTTAACCAAAGACTTTCAAAGCTTTCAATTCTGTGTCCTTCTCTAAATACTCATCCATGCCTTTCTGTGCCTTGTTGTGTTGTGCACCATCTGATCCTCTGGCAAGTTTTCAGAGCCAGTAAACAGCACTAGTGTTGACGACCCACATTTCTCCTGCAAAGCAGCTAGAGGATTTGAAATGAATGAACGCCTTTAGGTTGACAACACAATTCCTTACCACTAGGCCACCAGGGCTCCCTTGCCTTGCCTTTGTTGGTGTTGAGTACCATCAAGTGAGAACCAACCCATAATTGATCCTCCAAGCAGGTTTTCAGAGGCAGTAAACTTCACAGGAGGAGACTGTTCATCTTCTCCCACAAAGTGGCTGGTAGATTTGAACTACATACCTTCACTTTGGCAGCACAATGCCTTACCCTCAAGCCACCAAGTGGCTTCTATTTCCTTTCTTCCTACCCATTCTTCACGACATTACAATCTTGTTTGTGTCCTCACCCTTCTACTGCAAGGGTTCTTGTCAAGGTCTCCAATGACCTTGAGAAGATAATTTCTTAGTTCTTGTTTTATTTTCTTATTCTTTAAAGCATTTTACATTACTATCTGTCCTAAAAACTTTTATTTTTTCCATTATCAATTTATTTGCCACAATTAGTTCTTTTGTTAGACCATCCCATTCTGGTCTTCTCTAGAATTACTTGGTGGACTCAATTCTTAGCCACCAGCAGTTTCTTAGGAGAATGACAGGCAATATTTACAGCCTTAGAAACTCGATGGAGGGTCAGCTATGAGTCAGTCCTGACTCCAAAGCTGTGACTTTCTGAGTACTCTTAGGTTACATTGTCCCTAAAGTATTCTCATGGCATCAACTACCACCTACGAGTGATAACAAAGTAAACACCTTCCTTTTCCCGGAGGGATCCTGAAACCCCACAGAACAAGACTGCACACTTCAGTTCTCTCCAAGCAGAGAACAGCACCCTGAGCCTTGCATAGTCCAGAACATGTTAAACCACACATGGTGGTTCCAACTGTCCTTCCAAATGTGATCAACAACCAAGTCCTATTGATTCCAACATAAAAATGTCTCCCAGACCCACTTTTTATTATTAGTCCCACTGCAACTCTTCCGGGGCAGACTTGAGATTGCTCACTATGATTATATGCAAGAAACTCTTAATGCTCTTTTTACTTCCGGTTGATGACAGGAATAGCTCCTTACTTCCGGTGATGATCTTTACTTTCCTTGGGTCACTGTCCATTATGATTGTATCACTGCCATGAGGTACTTAATAAAACTGCACACAGTATTTTTGCAGTAGAAATGCCATGCTTTTATACAAAAGGAAGGTGACCCTCTTTGGTTAGCTTCTGTATTTGAAAAAGCATGAAAGCAACATTGAGGCATTTGGCCTCCACAACACAAGCAACTGAAGTCATTACGACAGACTCTATCCTGATTAACAAACATCTGAGCCCCACAGTTTTAAATGAGATTACATCCAAATGGAGTTCCCACTGACGACAGCAACCTACTTGGTGAAGGGACATCAAACCATAATCTTTGATGAGTAATGAGAAATTGACATTTTATGCTCAGATCCCTAATCTGGAGTAATTTGGTTTTGAGTTTCCCTATCTGAATTCCATGACTATCAAAGATCTTTTCTTCTTTCTGAAAATGCACTTGCTTTTACTTAATTAGAAATGTTTTCAAAGTGCACCAGATTTTATTGTCTAGCAATGGACAAGACCGTCGAGATGGAAAGGAGACCCATCAATCTCCAGTGGTCTCATTCCCCTAGAAGACTTTGGTGGAAATAAGGTCCTATTGAGATTCACCAGTTTGCTGGGACAATGCTCAATGTGAATGGCAGACAGAGGGTTTTTTCTATCTGTTCTCTAAATGTAATTTTAAACGCTTTCATTTTCTTGAGTGGGACTGCCTGGCATATTACATAACTGAGTATTTCCTATCTTTACTTAAATGCTATTTACAAAATGTGTGTGTTGTATTTTTTAGTTGTGTTGATGCAAGGTGTTGGGGTTTTTTTTAAAATAAAGCCCACCCTTTCTAATTAACATACCACAATGTTGATTCATAACCCAGTGAGATTCTGCCACAATCAGTAATTATTTCCTAGACCAGCTGGCACTGACCTGCTCAAAAGTATGCCCAGTGAATTCCATTTCCTTCACATGGCTGTGTAACAGTTTCAGAAAACAGTCAGTTGTTTATTTCAAAACCTACCTTTGAATCTTGGTCCTGATGAGGTAGTCTATTGAGCTAAATGTGGTTAATGCAAATCTCCCATTAACAAATTCTTTTACCTTAACGCATAAATCAGAGCAACACATCTCCTCCTTTAAATACTATTTTGAAACACTGCATTAAGAAAATGACAGTCTACATAGATTCTGTAGTCAAACTTTCACTTCTTGAAAATAATAAAAGTCCCGCATTATTAGCTAATGAGACACTTTTAAAAGCCTGATGTTAATAGTGACCAGGGCTTAAAGTCTATGCTTGCCTATAATCTTTTATTCCCATAAAGAAATGTGCTATCTGATTTGCCAAGTGAATAGGCCCTTTGATCTGACTTACTCTTCTCCCACTTCTCTTTCCCACCTTGGCCTCTGAAATCAAGGGTATCTACCAGGCCTGTCAGGTGTCTTTCCACACAGCAGGCAGTGTGATAATCAGAGAAAAGAACAGTGGGTGAAGGCAAGTCGTTGACATGTAACTAGAGGCCAAGATTTTCAGTCTTCAAGGCTGCTAGGAAGAAATCTGACAAACTATTTCCTCCATTTGTCAACGTCGTCTTCTTAGAAGATAGCAATGAAAAAGAAATATCAAAAGCATTCATACAGTAAGTGATTCTCTGCAATTTACAACTAGATTCAACGTTGAGCATAAAATCCTAACATCAGTACTACAGCATGGAGGTATCAGCCTATATTGTAATACTACATTCTATTTTAAAAACATAATTAAGACTCACTTTCCTTGCTGAAATGTAGTCTATGCTGTTCAACAATGTGCTTAAAGAAAGATGCAGTTTTCCCTCTTTTCACTCAAAATTTTGAGGAAAAAGGCTGTAGACAAGAAGTTGGACTGTGAATGATGGGAAATAGTTACCAGCAGCACTCACGTGCTAACAGAAGTGAGACGTCCGGTAAGTGCTGGAACCTATCTAGACCTGTTCTGTATGCAAGAACGATTTGCTGAGCTCTGCGGGGTTTTGTCTAAATTTTTTTTTACACTATAAACGTTAGTTTCAAATGGTTAGATGGTTGGTAAGCAGTAGGGAACTGTCAAAGGAAGTTACTCTGTCCTTGCAAAAGTTTGCAATTTCCATCCAGGACACTCTTGCCCTCATCACAGAAATCTGCACTGTTAACACATACAGCATGTCTTATGTCCTATCAGATGAAAATTACAGTCAAAACATGCACCAAATGGAAGGCTTACCGAGGTGTACAAGTAGCCCTCGCTGTTCATTGCCAAATACAGCTTAGTCTGAACTCCTTGAATGGCCACCACTCGAAGGCCCACAGGGATGAGGTTAAACAGAGCTGCAATGAACACAAATGTGAAAAAAAAAAAAAGTTACCATTCTCAATTTCAGTGCTTCAGTATTTTCATGCAGAAATGCTCAAAATTGCCTGGTGAGAATACACACACATAGACACACATGGAAAGAAGAGGTCTCATCATGAATGTTGCATATACTTCATTCTTGGCTGTAGTCGTGTAACTAGAGTTATCACCACATATTCTCCAGCCCCTTGGAGGAAATGGAGAGTGTGTCGACAATCCCTTGGTTGGTTCTGTCTGGAAGTGGATGATCTCACAGGTCCTAGGGAGATTTGGTTCCAGGAACTCGTATGCCCAGAAACCGTTCCATCCTTCGGCACACCAAGACTTTATAACTGCTCCAATACTTAACTTTCGAAATTTCCAGACACAGTCAAGATGGTCTTTGGGAAGAGATTCCTAGAATCTTAGAAGAGACACCAGTCCAAATTTAACCACCCAGAAAGAAGTTTATGCTTATTTGCAAAATAGTTGCAAGTGGGCAGCCGGTGGGTGCCAGAGAGGTCTTCATTTCTCCATTTGAAGGCTTCACTGTGTGAAACTGACACCAGGCTCCCTCACAATCACACACCACTCACTGGAGAAAACCAGGGGGCGTCCTCCCCCTGCCAGCTGTCTACTCCCTCCCACACTGGGAATAAAAATAAAACGGTACATTTTTAAAACGTAGTGCTTGTCACACACGTCTTTTGAAAACAGCCTGTGCACCTTTCTTGGAGCACTCACAGGCCAATGAGGAAGCTTTGTGCCTCAGTGCGGAAGTTTGCTGAGAATGGGAAACTGGTCTGCTCTAGCTGAGGTGAACGAGAATGCACGAGAGTCACCCATGGGCAAGGTTTTTCTAGAACCTCTTTGTGCATCTGCAGTCTGCTGCAGTAGGTGGGGTAATATGGATGAGAAATATTAATGAAGAACTAAGTGATTCGTTGGTGAGCCTACCATGGATCCTCAGGGTGTCAGCACAGAGGAGCCAGGACATATTGTACAGTTCAAAATTGCAAGTGTTCCTACCACATGCCGCTGATAGCATTTCATTTGCTACTCATCATATTAAAAGCTGTGCCCTTCTGTTACGTGAGGTAAAGGAAAGTAAAGACACAGATTGCAAGTCAGGATCTCATGCTATATTTGACAAAGCAATGCACACGAAAGAGGACTGATGACTCTGAGCGTCTCATGAATACGTCATCTCGACTTCTGTTGATGATGCCTTGAGGGCAGGTGCTCAACATGTACTTATCGATTGGGAGCAAGCAATCAAAAGGGTGAAAACCTGATAATGGAAGAAGTCTGGCAATGAACAGATCACACAACTAATTATGTAAGAGGTCATAGTTTAAAAAAAATGTGTGGAGTTAAAAACACAAAGCCACCTGCAAGGGTTTAAGATTCTTACTATACCACATACCACTTGAAGCAAGAAGACCAGAATGTGTCTGAATCCTAGTTTGGTCACAGTAATGAGTAATAGAGGAAGCACTGGGGGACTAGGGGCAAGGAGCTGAGCTGTCAGCTCAAAGGCACTTTGTTCAAATCCACTAGCTGCTCTGTGGGACAAAAGGGAGTGATCTTCTCCCATCGCAATTTACAGCCTCTCTAGGTTCCTAGTTGACAGCGTGCAATAAAAGCAACAGGTAAAAGACTGAGAAATGAAATTTAGAATCGTGTCTAGAACCGTGTTTTCTACGGTATTCCCAACCTTCTCAGGTCTCTTAATGCTACTTGTGGCAATGCGAGCATACACACATGACAGAGCAAGAGGGTGAGAGACAGAGAGAGATAGAGAGTTAGAGACAGATAGATAGAGAGATGATAGAGCTACATATATATACACACATATACATACATATATATAGAGAGAGAGAGACAGAGATTAAGAGAGAGAGAGACTGAGAGAGAGATTTATTGAGCTTTTCGCCTTGGATCTCCACCCACTCTCTGAGGTGAGCTGTAATGAGCAGTGAAATTTTTCAGTTCAAAACATCAGACAAGAGGAAGAGCCGAAAGGGGCATCAGTAATCCATGCTTGGGATCACTGCTTCTGAATAATGACATTAACTTTATAATAGAATGTGAAATCTGTACCTTTATCAGCCTGATTCAAAACTACACAACATGTACTCAACAACGAAGCCTTGAAGGGAGTAGCTGAAGTGGAAAGTAGTTGCTCACACAACAGTCTAATATATTCTCTTCTTTAGACACTTAGGATAGATGAAAAAGAAGGCTGATACAAAGTGTACATACAAAGTCTAATCTCCAGATTAAAAAGCAAAGAAACTTTATCAAGGGCAAGAAAGTTTCCCAGAAACTTTTGTCTTAAAAAGGACTTTCATAAAGTATTATTTCTCTAAATCAGGAGTACAATTCTTTATAGATGCCAGTTATTATTTTGATGAAGATGAAAAAGACTCTGAGAGAATGGCTTTCATTAATGTTTCTAAAAGCATTCATTCAATTCATAAACTTTCTTCTTCCATTTCAATCAAGTCACTTTGAAGAATCCGTTCAGGAAGAAAAGTGGTTTTGCTTCATAATATTTTTTTCTGTTTAATCGACATAAAAACAAAGTCCTCTGCCATCAGGGACCACTTTCTTAGGGCCACACATACAGCTGGTGCTTAATGTTTCCTGGACCAAGATACAATTATTGAAAATTAGGAAAACACACATCTACACCTCAACGAAGGCTGGAAGGAGGTATAACATGTTGAATATATAACTCTACTCAGGTTTGAAGGAAAAGAGTAAATGACCCTTCTAAAATAGCCTTCATCACACCCACGGCAGATAGAAAACTACTGCCATGAAATGTCAATCACTGTTTGCCTTTTCAAGGGAAAAGACATTATTTATAATGAATGATCTGCTCACGAAGAGGTTTTACTGGACAGGCATTTACCAGTGTAATAAGTTTCCAGAAGGTGCATTTAAATACATAATATCAAATGTACATTTTCAAAAGTAGGAAACACGAACCAAACTGTGTATGTTTTAATTATCCCATTAGGAAAAAGCAGAAAACCACTCAAATGGAACTGAGATAAATATAATTAAAAGATGAATTAAAAGAAGAGAAATATACACCTAATATCAGCATTGCATATTAATTAATATAAATTAATATAAATTAATATAAATTAATATAAATTAAACAGCGATTACTGGGGGAAAAAAGTCATTGTTACAACTCTTTTAAACAGGTTACTTATATAATCTGTGCCAATAAAACTGCTCAGCTTTCAGGGGGAAAAGAAATCTTGATGAGACAGATTATTTGAATCACTCAACATTCTGCTTTCATGACTGTGTATGCCTCCCAATCTCCTCACTGGGGCAGTTAACTCAGCTCCCACTTGGCCACTGGGTTAGAGTAAAGCTCCTCTGATTTGCTATCTCTTCTGAGATATTTTCAGGTATACGGATCACGAGGGGGCAATACTTACCATTGCCTGACTCACCTCTCTCATTATTCCAATATGCCCAAAGCCAGATTTAGGGCATCAGACTACCCTTCGAAGATTTTACAGTATTATTGCAACTGAGAAATGCCATGCTCTGTGAGTGAGTTCTAAGAAAGCCAAAGGCAGAGCCTACACATAGGTAGGACTGAAAAACCTACTGTGTGATTAAAAGCTCAATAGTAAGAAATGGATGCACTAGGCATGAATACAGTATATTTTAGGAGATAGACATGCGCACACAAAGACTACGAGCTACATACAGTAAGGTTTTCACAAAACAAAACAATAATCTAAATCCTTTGTCAGGACATTTTCTCATCTTTTTAATCACAAGAGAGGAGATTGATTGTCCATCCTTCTCCCGTACTAGAGAAGATGTTGAAATGTAAATAGAGGAATGCTTGAGTGAGTTGGGCCTGTGGACAGCTCGCTTTGAACCTCCCTTCAGTAAAGCCCAATGGATCTACTAACCTACACCCTAATTCCCTTCTCCCAAACACAGATAGTACATGGTATTTATATAAACATTTTATTATTGGCTATTATGTACTAATGTGTGTTAAATTATTATAGTAACACCTTCTAGCCACCCTTGATTCTTTGACATAGAAGGGCATGTATTTGAAATAATCTAGGACACTCATTATAGCCAATTACAAGAATAACAGAGCTTTCTGGAAAACAGTGAAGAACCAGGGAGTATGGATGGTTTTCACTTGAGGTACCAACAGAACTCTCTCCAAGGGTAACTGAAGGTGACTTCCTCTTGAGGTCACAGCTTGTCCATCAGTCCAGGAAGCATTCCTAAAAGGTGGGAAAGCCTTTAAACCCTGTCACTGGGACCCGGTTCTGTAGTAGAGCTGTCTAGAAGCTTCAGAGCATCATTAGCATTCAGTCCTGCTTCCCTTGGCTGCCATCTCAGCCGAAAATGGGAATATGTCTGAGAAATCACCAGATCTGGGGGAAATGCAGTACAAACGGAGCAGAACACAGAAGGAACTGTGAGAACTCGGTGTTGTAGTCTCATGGAACACTGAATAGGTCTGCAGAAACCTGTCAATCACTGGAAAAGACCAGTGATCCCCACTGAAGCAAGGGGTGCACTGTGGGGACAGTGTTCTCATGACTCCAAACAAATAAACCTTAGGGAAGAAAAGGCTCTGTAACACGGTGGAATGGCATTCTTCCATTAAGTGGAAAGAAAATGGGCTGTATTTTTGATCTGTTTCCTTTGGAAGTTCAGCAGTCTGGCCTCCAGTTTGATCTTTCCTTAAGCAAGGGTAAAGAAATAAAGCAGTACATGAAGCTCACTTACCCACCTGGGTATGTGTCTCAAAGCTTACATTCCAATGAGGCTCTGTGTTATCAGTAGAGGAAGAGGGGTTAGGAAGTGAAAAGAAAGGCTGGAATGATGAATTCCCGAATCATGAAACAGCTCCTCTCCCTTGGGATGAGACTGGTTCATAAGAGTAGAGATAACGTGCTATTTCAGGCTTGCTGTGTGGATGAGTAAACTTTCTGTGGGCAAAAAGTAATAAAATCCAAAGGACAGCCACAAATCTCTCCAGATCACCATGGAGATGACATTTGGGCTGTTCCTCAGATGGTGTCAACAGTGTTTGCTCTAGTTCACTGTTTAGGCTATTTTCAAGTTGAACTTCCTTGAGACTAAACGGTATAAGCAGGATTTTAAGGGGGGGGGCTGCAGTTCACATCCTCTTTATGCTCTAATAAAGCCAATGTATTAAAGACAAACAAATCAACACGCGACGTGGACACAATGTCAACAATATTGGAGGAGGTACAGTTTCGTCTGCAGTCACTTACTGTAAGTGCTCTCCTCGTCTTTGGTGCCATCAATGGTGCCATCAGCCTGCAGCTGTAAGTGGTAGCCTTGCCGGCTGTAGAGTTTGGTAACTATACCCTTAAGCTGAGGCTCTGCAAAGAGAACAAGGGCTTGAATCAATTGGGATACAGTGCATCTGTAGTTGAAAAGTCTCAACAGTTGAATATGTGAATTTCTTTACCAAATTTTACTGGAAAAGGATCACACTACTAGAGTTTCAGAGATTCTTCTGGAAGGAGAGGGGGGAAACCCCATACAAATAAACAAAGTCCTAAGTGTCTGAATAAATGTCCACACAGAAGACACATGAGCTTTCTAACATGACCCGCTGGAAAGCCAGAACGCTTCCATCAGCTTATGCTAGAATGGGGCTACGGCTTACTCTAGCCCATTGAGCATTCCGAACGGGTTGGAATATTCTGCCTTTGAACAATGTACCACTTTTTATATGGAAGCAACAGAGAAAATACAAAGAGAATTCTGAATTCTTTGCCAACCAGTGGCCGAAGACCCATAGCACAACAGTCTTTTTCAATTACCACCATTTGAATGAAGCTTTCCCTCCATCCTGAGAAGGTTGCAAATGCATAGTTAGCCTGACACCCCCTCGAAGGACTAATATTCAGGAAACTGACTCTTCAACAGAAACAGGAGGAGATAGGGAGGCAAAAGGGGAAAAAAAATCCACTCAGAAAAAAAACCACCCAACAACCCAAAACCCCCAGAAACATTCATCACCATACCATATCCAAAATCAGTTTACCCTAAATATAAGGTTATTAGTTGAAATGACGTTTGGTTAGGCATCATCAATTAAAAAATTACCTAATTTACCAATAGCGTCCATGTTTGCCCAAATCTATTTTTAAATGAAGATAGACGCCGGCGCTGAAATAGTACTTATGTGCTTATTTGGGTCACATTAACCATAAATTTAACCTCTTAAGTGGTTTTCAAAGCAGCCTAATTTATAGCTAAAGCATTACAAACTTTGTGCAAATTGAAAAGGCATGTCTGTGTGTCCATTCCAGGGTGTGTAGAACACACAGAGAGAGAGAGAGAGAGAGAGAGAGGGAGAGAGAGATATATGACAGGTTGATGAGCGGAGCAGTCTGATTTTTCTGGACCAGTACCTCTCTAGTTCAAGGCAAACACTCTAAAGGACACATCTGATTAAGAATGGGCAAAGACAATGCCTGTTCTCAGAACAGTCTACCTTGACACAAGATGCCCCATCTAGAGCTGCCTAGAGCTGGATGGCAGGTTACTCTTATAAATGAACAGGAACAGGATGAAAGGGGGCCAACAATCTGGTTAGGAGTTCCCTCTTCAATGCTGCATTCTGGTACCAAGTAACCAGCTCTCCTAATCGAACTAAAACACGGAAGCTCACTGCCACACAGCTCCAGGAACCTCCGCTCCCCAGACCTCCTACCCACCAGAGGAACATGACAATTCTGCCCCAAAAGCTTCAAAGTGATCAAAGAAATGGGATCCTAGACAGCAGAAGCCCATGTCCCTGGGGGATGGCGGTTGGAGGGGAAGGGTTAGACAGGCAGGCTGGGGGAGGCAAAAGAAGGAATTCCTTGGGTTCTCCTAGGGGACAGTTTCGCACTAGTGATGTCCATGCCACGAACACAACAGCCATGTCTGGGTCTCCCTTGCCCAGCACACAAGTGGCATGCCTAAAGGCCCTGGCACTTCCCGGGCAGGGCAAGCCGGCTCTGCGCTGTCCCAAGGCAGTTGCACTGCAGTAAGTCAGGGGGGAAAGCCATCGTCTCCCCACGCACGCACACCGGTTAGGTAGCCTCACCAGCACAAGATGGGCCATCTACAAACTCCCTGCCCTCGGCCCCTCCAGACTCGCAAAGTCTCGGGGGGGGGGGGGGGGAAAAAAAAATTAAAAAAGCCAAGTGCCCTTTCCGACCTGGTCTCCTTCTGCGCCGTTTCTTGGAGCCGAAGAGTTTGACCCGGGAAAAGACGTTTAACTTGTTTTTGTCGCAGCTGGTCTTGCCTTTGCTGGGGCTGCTGACACACTTGCAGGCGTTGGATTTCTCGCGCTCGCGGGCTTGCCTCTTCTGCCTGATCAGCGAGCTGGCGATTGCCGCCGCCATGGCCAGGACGCCCACCA